CCCCCCCCCCCCCCTTTGGCGCCGCCAATGAGCTGGCGGCCACCAAAATTAGTTAAGACAAAAACATCACTATTAATTTGAATACATCTTGTATGTCGACATAGCTCTGTGCACGTCCATAGTTCCTAAAAATAATGTTCTAAAATGATGTTTTGACAGTGTTAACTTGAGCCTGCACTGGCGATACATTGTTACTGTTTTGGCTCCTATTATTGAAACAATTTTTATACAGTTTGCGAACTTTAGTGTTCCATAAGAAAGCAACTGCAACGTATGATCCTTGTAAGCAGACAAAAATAACGAACAGATATTCAAATGCCACGATATTTCCCAAACCGGCATGTAAGAATCCGAAAATCCAAGGAAAACCAGTTAGGGTAGACAATGTTTATGCAGATTTTCAGATTTTGTTTTCTGTTTTGATGAAGCTGTCCCGTGGACTCCTGCTGCTTTAGAAAAAATATTGCTGTACGAATAAATATTGAGAGGTTGAAAAGAAGTGACAAGCCAATTGGCAATATAAACAAGTAAATCTTGGAATTCGTAGTCGCCAAGAAACAGATAGTACCATAGTTGATAGGAAATACTTCTGCCTTGTCCAGTGCAATACAAACAGCAACAAATGCGGCTGGTAATGTCCAAACGACAACTGTATACTTTATGAAGGTATCGTACTTTTCGCCTTAGCTTCTTATTGCTGAGATTAAGTTCTTCGAAAAAATAACGCATGAGTGATGAGAAATAACAGACATGGCGACGAACGATACAAGAATGAAGTAATGTTCCAAGATGGCGATGACGGTACAAGAAGTTTCATTTTCGTGTACATATGAACGAATCAACCAAACAAATTGATATATCAACATCGACAAACACAAATTCATCAGATTTTTTCCAGGAAGAGTTCTTAGTTCCGAGAAACATTGTGTAAGTTATTAGAACAAGGAGAATTGAAAATATGGAAATAATAAACCCAGCCATCGTTAAAATCTCCAAAGGTTGTTTATGGTTGTCATGGTAATTTACGGCCCTGATGATGCTGATAGGTATATTTGGAAGACAAATAAAAACTGTTGAATTTCTGAGTGACTTCGAAAAGTCCTTACTCAGTGTGCTGACATTTGCGTCGTCGACAACGTAACCAGCAGTGTCATTATTTTTTTTACGTAATACTTTCCAAATGGATACATCAGGTTTGTTGCATTGTGGTATAAAGTTAAGTTAGTAAGAATGACGTATTCATGTCTGGAGATGTTAAGCCATGCTTCACAGTCAGAAAATATTGTTTGAGGACAAAGTGTTATATTCTCGTCCGTCTTCTTTATCACGTCTTTCAACAAGAACGTCTTTCCTGTTTTGTTTTCAATTACTTTGCCATTCTTTTCGTCTATTCTGTATTCGTTGATTGAGAACGTCTTTTGTCCAACACAAGCAAGTTGTTTTACAAAAGAATTAATCACCAACAAATTCCATCCAAGATATAATATATCTTTCATCAGTGTTGGAAGCTGTGAAAAGCTGTCTATTGCATCATTGCTTTGGTTTAACCGCGCCAGGACTTGAAATGGAGTCAGTTACTCGGAACGCAACAACAATGTAACTTTTATTTCTTTTTTTTATCATACGTTTGCTCGTGAGTACCCGTGACAGATATTTGTTTAGGTTTCAACTTAAGAACTGTTTCCATTTTTTTTTCCAAAACTTTCTCCATGGTCATTGGTGTTGGATAACTTCCAAGTTGGCCTGGAGTGCGCGCAGTGCCTGGGACCTTGCCCATGGGTATGGAGAAATTAGTTTTGATTAACCACAAAGCAATAAAATACTGATTTGATAAAACATCGTCAACGGAAATTACTTTACCTTTTATACGGCAAAACCCAAAGTTTTTATCAAATACCAAGTCAGATCCACATTTTCGTTTTATGTTTAGAGTAGCTTTGGAAGCAGTGTTTTCGACTTGAAATACTGTTGAAAATCGATCGGCCGTCATTCTCTCCCTGGCCTGCCAGAACATCAGCCGGATATATGTTGTTGAACGTCCATTCACTTAGTCAGTGATTCCGCGACATAACGCGCATGCTTTAGTCAAATATAAACAACATAGGTCAACTGAAATGAGTGTTAGGACTGGCGTCCCACAGGGTTCAATTCTTGGACCACTACTATTTCTAATATACATTAATGACATTGAAAACTGCAGTAAAATTCTTTCTTTTGTCTTATATGCCGATGATACAAATGCCTTTTATTCAAATTCGTGCCTAAAAACTTTAGCTAGTGCTATACAAAATGAAATGAATGAAGTAGAGCAATGGCTTAACGCCAATAAATTATCAATCAATGCATCGAAAACAAAATTTGTCATTTTTAAATAAAAAAAAGTCACAGCATCAAGAAATCATAGTAAAAATAAATAATGATATAGTTGAACAAGTACCTTGGGTAAAATTCCTAGGTGTATTAATTGATCAAGAGTTGACATGGAAGAACCACATCAACTCCGTTCTGAAAAACATAATTAAATCTGCGGGTATGATTGCTAAACTAAGACATTTTACGAACAAAAACACTTCGAAATTGATTTACTATGCATTGGTCTATCCATACCTCACGTACGGAAATCTAGTTTGGGGAAGTACATACCCAACAAGGTTACAAAAGTTACTAAATGTGCAAAAGAAAATTGTACGACTAATCTGTTTTAAATCTTATATGGATCATTCTGAACCAATATTTTTACATCTACAAAATTAATGATTATCTATGCAGCTTATTCATGTATCGCTTCAATTATTGTCAAAATTTCCCGGACTTTTATAATGATTACTTCAAACAAAATAACGAACTATACAACACTATAATACTCGAAATTCTACCAAGTTACATGTGAGCTATAAAAGAACAAACTATCGCAAATACACTGTATTTAACAAAGGAGTTTCTATATGGAATTACCTTGATGAGGAAATTAAAAATATTAAATCTTATTTTTCTTTTAAGAAAACTGCAAAATCTTATTACTTGATGTCTAGTTGATGTAAATATTTCAGGAATATTAATGACAGTATTCCGTAATGTACTAAATATTCCTTAAACATTTTCCATATTTGTTTGTAAATACTTTGTGTTTTTCATTGCAAATTGTCTTTATGTACATAATCTAGTTTTATATTACTGAACACTAAAACTATAGGGGCCTCGTCTTAAAAGTCCAACAGGATTTCCAGAGGTCTCTAGCCCGTTTATATATTCTTAAATATTCAACTTGTAAATATTATTTGTGGGTAAATAAACTAATCATCATCATGCTTTGTTCTTAAAGTAACGTTTTCCATCAGAAACAACTTCCACAGGTCCATTCACACAACTATAGTGCGATGGGTGAGAAGTATCATTTTTAATAATGCAGTATCGTCGTGGTTGGTCGCTACTTGGTTCGATAGTTTGATTCTTGGCGCCTTGTTTTATCATTAATTTTATCCCAGCTTCAAGGTCGTATTCAGCAGGAAGTGTTATGTAAGTGAGAATCTGAATGTTCCAGCTGCTGTATCTTGTTATTCCCTGGCAAACGGCGCAATATTTGTTACGATAAGTAATGTTGTTCTCGCCAACTACTGGAAGATACTTAACGATAGGAAAGGAAAAGTTGCTTGGAGGATTTTCACAGTTGAACTTCGTTTTATCAGATGGCCAGTTCAGTGGACACTTCTGGATCATCCAAATGCCTTGAATGCCATAATGTTTAGAATGTTCACGAACATACCTAGTTGTAACACATGTCCATGTGGACTCTTCTGTGTTAATGGTGCTAGACATTTGCACTGTTTGGTTTCCACAAAGCTTCTCGTAATCAGTACAGCAGTCGTAAAAAGTTTCAAAGCAAGCGTTGTCATAGTAACAAATGAATTCGTTGTTAAAAGTTGCCTTTTCATGGGTACATTTACTTGAACTATAATCTTTCTTTGCATTTCTTTTTTTGTCTATCGTTTGCTGCCTCGCCTGGAATTCTTTTCCATACTTCGTGATCGTTTAATAGTTGATATTTCTCGTAATCTTGATTCGTATTCTCCAAAATCAATCTTTCTCCAACGATCTGAACGAATGTAACAGCAAAGACCAGCACAATGTTCCGATGCATAACGCCGAAGGATTCGTGAAATCCTCAAAATCCAAATTGTTATTGTTAATTATTATTTATAATGGCTGTATAGCGGCCGCTTTGAACAAAAAGTATTATTTTGTAGTTACGCAGTCCTGTTATAAACTCAAGTGTACGTTTCAAAATAGTGTTTCGGCACCTATTCTACCGACTACAGTGTTTACACACAGTACTATATACAATTCTAGATAACGTCCTATTTTTTATAGGTTTTTTCTTTATTAACATAACAATATACTGGATAATTTAACTAATACGCTGCATAATCAGCTGAATAATTTAGTAAGTTCTAACTCAATGAGTTCTTAATGAGTTGTTAATTAATGAGTTCTTGTTTTTAAACAAAATCATTTTTCTTCAACTTTGAAGTCGATCCCCCGATGAACCTCACGATCTCGGCGCGTCACGTAAATCGGTTGTCTCCGATCGTTAGTGCTGCCCTTGAATGAATTCCTTAACTCGTCTACTTCGTCACGATTAATGTGATCCGGCAGGGCGTCTCGCGTACTCTGATCGACTCTGCTCCCGTTTAGTATGTTGTTTTCAAACATTTCTTCTCACTTTTTCTCGATGCAAGATCACTCTCGTACAATCTTGAAATATGACTTGTCTCGCTTAAAAACTTTCCCGTCATCAAATCGGGCTGTCACGGTGTTGTCACGTATCTTGATCACTTTACCAGGAATCGGGCTAAGTGGATCTGTTCGTTTGTTTTTCTGAGAACACTGTGCCCAACAGCAATTCTAGTCTTTTGTCGTGGTATCTTTTAGACTTCAACTTATACAAGGCATCATTATGTCTGACTTCAGCGTTGGTTTTTCCGAGATATCTCGCAATACTCCAAGTCGCATCCTTCTCCCAAACATGAGCTCGTATTGACTTTTTCCTGCAGAAGGATGCGGCGTGGCAAGGTAAGCATTTAACATTCCTTCAATGAGAGCAGGATATTTCTTCCTTTCTTGTGTCGCCGACAATTTGTCCACTCGTAGGCCAGGTACGATGTGGGTCTCGATGCTCCTTTGTCCACGTATATTGCTTCGAAGTTAAATACACTGACTCCGTTTCTCTTGTGAGTCGTATTCAGGTATTCTTCTAGTTTGCCATTTTGCTTCGTCGCCACAATATATAGTATTTCGATGTTAAATACAACTATGATATTGATATAAAGTCCAAACTCTTTAACTTTGCTCAATTTGATTCCAGCAGCATCTAGTACCAAGTTCATTCAAACAATCTTTTAACGTCAGGAAAATTTTCGTCACACGATTCATCCGGGCTAGCCGGGCTGACCCAGCATATATGAACAGACCCTAGCTAGTTGGGACATTTTTTTACATGACCAATTCAGTCTACAGTCTTTCGGTCTTGTAGAATGCTTTAACCACTAACTGCTAAGGCCCTGTTTACACCATACCGGATTCGCTGGTCACGACATCTTCTTTTGCCGTTACGGAGCAATGGTTAGTAGCAAATGCTTATTAGTTTGACAGACTTGGCATGTTTATTTGGATCTCTGAGATTAAAAAACTTCACAGCCTTTCGATACCTACAAAATTTGACCCACTCCGATAGCAATGTGTTATAGTGTAAACGTAGCCTAAATTTCGTTGTTAAACTGCAATTTGAAATTTGGTAACAAGTTATAAATAACCCATATAGGTTGCGCCATCTTTGTTCAAGTTCCTAAAATTTGAATCCGGCAAAATCAGAACAATTCAAATACCGAAACAATAAATTTGCATTCATTCCCAACGGCACGTAAAAATACGATTCAACTGGCCAGTTTGATCTATTTTTTATCGCAATGAAACAATGTGGAATTCCGTTCTCGACCAATCTGCGTTTTTGTTTACATTTTTGCTCTAAGCTAATCAGAATGCGTAAAACGCGTCATCGCATGAGTTGTAAACAAACATTTGGGAATCATATGAAGTCATTTCAGAGCTTTGCTGCAACCGGGTTTTTTTCTCCATAAAATCAATATATGTAACTCATGATCGCCTCGTTTTCTATTGTTCTCATAGGTAATTTAAATTTCCCCGGGAAATTTAGTAAAAAACAAAACATTTCTTTGTCTACTAATCTTTCCTCATCAAGAATGCAGGGGAATTAAGATTAGTAGAAAAAAATCTTTGTGCGCATGCCTAAAAAGAATGAACACAGAGATATGTTTCTGCGAGTGTGTATAGTATATAAAAAGTGTTCATCTCACAATCATAAGACAATCAAACAGCATTCAAAGCAGACCAATACACCCACGCGCCGATGTACGATACCCTTGGTGATCAAAATATTACAAACCAAAGCCTGGCGCACACGATGCGATTCTAGTCGGCCGATAAAAATCGTTTGACATACCGATATACATCGGTATACTCCGCACACGATTACGAAAACAGTATGCTCCATGAACTGTAGCCGCCATCTTGCCAAATAAATACAAGCACGTGATCACAGCATGAAATCTGATTGGTTATACTTAAAATTCCACCGATAAAAATCGTATAATATCATAACGTTTTGATGTTGTCCGATTAAAAAATTTATTAAAAATAAAAAATCGGATTTTGTTAGTTTTAGTCAAACGATTTTTATCGGCCGACTAAAATCGCATCGTGTGCGCCAGGCTTAACTAGAATTGAAAACACATGCATGCAGAAAACCTCGCCTTGCTTACAAAACCATTGTATTTTCCGAACGTGAAGTATTTAAAGTAGTTGTCATGGTAACACGATAATTTTTTAAGAATATTTTTACAAATGTAAAATCCCCTAAAAATATCACTTTTAATTACAAAATTATCTGGTCCGTTGGGTTCGACAGAACTCAAT